AATGGCTGCCTTAGAGCTGATGCTAACTGTAATTGAATGCTTTGCTGGCAGATGATGTGCTTACGGCAATGGTTATTTAAGGGGGCAATGTGAAGAAGTACGCTACTTGGAATATTGGATAGACAAATGATTGCGAAAAAATCTGATAGGCTACAGCGATAATCGAATGATTATGGTCCATTCTGGAATTATGTGATTTCATATTAGTCTGGTAACGTAATTTATAAATATTCTACAGAAAACCGTTTGTCCTAAGGATATTACTCATCTGCCGAAGTGTTACTCTCACAGAAACATTGATTTAAACCGTCTTTGTTGAAAATCACTATCTTGGCTGAAATTATATAAATCAAACTTAGATAATTGATTTTCAGACTGCATATATTGCAACGTGCCACTAATGTTGCCCTAAGAATGACTTCTGTTTTTTAAATTCGAAAGGTGAAGTAATATTTATAGCAATTCATCTACACAATTATATATTTCAATACCTTTATAACTAATTTCAAATTTACATACTATGAACTGGTGATCAGGACCAGTGACAGTTTTCAGGGCTGTGCACATACATATCATATCTGTCATTATTCAAGTTGCTGTATTACTTGCAGACGTGTCGAGATGTCGCTTGATGAATGCTTTAAGGAGTTTTTGAGTGTTAAACCGCTTGGCCTGGAGAGAAACATAAATGTGATTTATTTTTTTAGGTACGTTGGTAGAGTGATCTCGACCGATGACTTTTCAACACGCTTGAGAAAATATCGATATTTCAACAGCTCAATTATTTACACAATACCTTTGGCCTTTTGTCAAAATTAAAGTTAGAAACAACCTTGGCCATTATAGTTGTCTATTCATGCTTCGCATTGCAAGTAATAATTCGTTCGCAATTCATACGACTAATAAGAATTGATTTCGCATTCACGCTCAGAGAAGGTGTTGACAAGCCCCTATCATATCGCTTGGCCTGTCTCGTTGTAGAGTTGTACCATATTCTCTTCGTCCTTTTAATTGGCGACTCAAATGAATGAAAATATCGATCAGAGTCGTGATTGCTTCCAGTACTGCTCTCTCTCTTTGCTAGTCATTTCCGTCAACTTGCCAAACATTTGTAATCAAGTCGCAGAAGCTGGCAAGGAAGTCGAAAGGTTAGTGTGTCTACGCTTCTTATTTCTAGTCTTGAATCTCACTTTCTATTATAACCAATCACGAAGCAAGTTGCACTATGATTATCGTGTAGCAAATAGTTATTCTTAATTTCATGGCTTCCGAAACAAAAGACTTTTACTTCTAATACTGACGTTGCCACTAGTAATGTATTGGCCTTTTTCAGTATAATTAAAAAAAAACATTACGTGTTTTTCCTATTCCTTACTCCGAGTATCACGCGAGTACTGTTGGCTATTCGAAAGACTGGCGTAATCATCAAATCATTCGTTCCGCCGTTCACCCCTAAACTGTAGACCGGGGATGGATCCGGAATTTTAGTAGGTTATTAATTCACTGAGAGCAATACTGAATATATAGCAGAAACGGTTTGATGATTTAGTATGATGCAAAATAATGACTGCTTTATTAAATTAATGAGATTATGGAAACATGCTACAGCAAAAAACCGTT